CAGGTCCATTTGACATCGGGGCTCATGCTTAGGAACGTGTTTCTGGGGAGAACATTCACTCAGTCAACTCTTCCATCACTGAGTGAGATGTCAAACTCCAGGGTTTCCTATATTTAAAACACATAACAGGAAACTATTTCCCACAGTTACTTTACACTGTCACAAAACTTTGCCAAATTCAAAAACACAAAAACCTATAAAGGTCCTTATGGAGCACCATCCTGTCATGAAGTGGGGGTGGGCTTGGGAAGAGGGTGGACCTTAGCTGGGTTGGCAAGCAAGGGCATGTACCTGAGGGTTCCTTTTCTCGTCCTGCTATGGTGCGCTTGCCACCCCTGTAGAAACTGCTTGTCACCTTTGTGATGAAAGGAGGGGCTGTGCCTGACACTCCAGACTGGAGGGTAAAATAGAGCCTAGAGAACTATTATCCTCCCTGTCAGGTCCCGAGGACTCCCACTGACAGCAGTCCCCCTCCTGCACTCCTGGTCGGCACTACACTGCAGAGAAACAATCTAAAGTCTCAAAAAAAAAAAATGGTTTCCACAAGCCCCGATCCCCTCTTCATTTCTTCCTTTTCAAAATGACTTTGCTATTCAACTGAATTCCAGTTCCCTCTGGTGACTATACTCTTAAGAGTTCGTGATTGGCAAGGGGAGGACACAGCGTGGGTGTTACAGACACACCTCTCTCTGCTGCATGTCTTACAGTCAAGCTGGGGGTAGGATGGAGAGAGGAAGGAACTGAGTATCTTAGTGGATACGGAGAAACTGGAAGTAAAACCAATTTGAATACTCTTTTGTGCAGACTCTCCTCCCAGCTTTGAGAAAGAAGCCCATGTGGGAAGAGTGGGGTTAGCCCAGTGGGAGCACAAGGGGGCCAGGAGTCCACTCGACAGCCACCACAAATTACAGTATCCAACACACACACACACACAGAGAGAGAGAGAGAGAGAGAGAGAGAGAGAGAGAGAGAGAGAGAGAGAGAGAGAGCGAGCGCAAGCGAGCTCTGTGAGGCTCCTCCATTTTCTCTTAAGAAAGAAACCCAATTGAATTTCTGGGAGAAATCTATTCCTTAGTGATGGTCCATTACGGGGACCTGAAACGGTGTGGAATATAAAATAATGTTTGATTTTAGCTGACTTTGGAAGGAGCACAAGGAGATCAATTTTTTCCCATTCCTCTTTCCCATATGGCTCATTTTCATGATCTGTAACAGACTGCACATAGTCAAACATGCTGTTCTAGAGTATTTGTTTTTTAAAAAACTATAAGACACCAGGTTCGAGGGGTTTTGTTGCTGAAATTTTGAAATACAATTCATGGAGAAAAAAATAAAAGTTATCTGTAATTTGGTAACAGAGTTTTTGTTTACATGCCCATATTATTCTGCTGATGCAGACGTGTGTGTGTGTGTGTGTGTGTGTGTGTGGTGTGTGTGTGTGTGTGTGTACATTTAACACAGGCTCGGGGCACTCATTATGACAATCCAGGAGATGCAGTCTCACATACTACTTAAGACTGGATTAGAAGGCTTTTCTCAAGAGCAAATCAGCTTGGACTATAAACCATTTCAAAGGCCCATCATACAAGGGGAACGGTTACAGGTTCTATAATGGTTGTAGAAGTTATAGGCTGGACATTCTGCTTGTCTCTGATGAAGGAAGGGCTAGTGAGGGCTGCACAGAGAGCACAGCCTCCTGGTCCTTCAAGCCTGGGCATGCTGCAGCACAGGCTGAGCACCGGGGCCCTCCTTAGTGGCTCTCCCCCTTCACTCTGCTTCCCCTCCCTCCCAGAGCAGGGGAGGAGGATGACTGCACTCGGGCAGTGCTTCTCTTGATTGTCAACCTCCTGGATAGAGAAATGACTAAGTGGTTACTGTGGCTCAACCCAGGTGTATCTGGAAGGACATTTCCAGACACAACCAGACAATAAGGGCCCTGACTTAATGGACAGATTAACCCCAAGGCAGAGTCACAATTTGGTGGCATTACTGGAATGTGCATCGTAGGAGGTGTGGTCTAACTGGAGAACATAGGTACTTGGGGAGTGTTTGTGCTCTGGCTACTTCTGGTCCTTGCCCTTTTTTCTGCCTCCTAGTGTCCAAGAAATCAAGAGAATCCTCAGCAACTCCTGTTACTGCCATGCTCTGCCCAACCACAGAGCCACACAGCCCCAGACTGAGTCCTCTGAAAGCGTGAGCCCAATGTGCTCTTCCCTTCCTTCTTTCTGCCAGGCTTTCATCATGTGACTGCAGAGGGAACTGAGGTAAGGGATAGGAAGGACAGAGAAGGCTAATGTAGAGCAGAAAGTAGGGCGGGTGTATTACCATCAAGAGAGAAATGCTCCTCGGGCTGAGCACCAATGACGTCAGCAGCTGTTGTCACCTACCTTCCTTTGTTTTCAATTATAAGAGGGCACCTGCTCTGGATCTATCTGAGAGGAATTCACCCTCGACACTTTCCATTTTAAAATATTTTCTCTACCCCTGAGAAGTCCAGGCCCATGAAGAATTCAAGCTTATGTTTCCAATGTCTCTTCGAGAGCCACAGGTACACAGCCTCCTGAATCAATGTCCTGTCTGGTTTCTGTTGCTGTATTAAGACCTAAAGGAACTAGGGAAGGAAAGGGCTTATGTGGCTTACACATCCAGTCCATCACTGCAGGAAGCCAGGGCAGGAAGTCAAGGTAGGAGCCTGGATGCAGAAGCTGATGCTGAGACCATGGACGAGTGCTACTTACTGGTTTGTTCCCCATGGTTTGCTCGACCTGCTTTCTTAGGTGACCTGGATCACTTACCCAGGGATGGCGCTAACCCCAGTGGGCTACAGCAATGATCATGAAGAGCATGCCCCACAAACTTGCCTACAGGCTAATCTTATGGGGCATTTTCTCAGTTGAGGTTCCCTCCTCACACAACTGTAGCTTCCGACAAGTCCACAAAGCCAGCTCAGTCAGTCTTCTCAGCGTCAAGAAACTAGAATCATTACACATGAACCTTGGGTCTGCCTTCATCCTCTCAGCGTCCTGTCCTTGTGTTCATCCACACTGTGGCATGGATCAGTATTGTATTTATTCTCACTGCCACAAAATACACACTGTGTGGACAGACCACATCCCACTACAGGACAAGATAACAAAGGACCTAAGAAAAGCATCCCCAGGAGGGAAGGGCTCACGATGTGAGGTAGAGTCCACCATGGTAGGAGCAGGAGGCAGCTCTCGTGCTGCGCTCATAGCTAGGATGCAGACAGCTGACAGATTGCCAGCACTCCACCCTCCTTCCCTCTTTATTTGTCCATGGGTGCTGTCACCCACCTACACAGTGGCCCTTCTCTCCTCAGTTGGACCTCTCTGGAAACATCTTTAGAGACACATTGAAGTGTGCATTTTCAGGTGACAGCGATGACGACAGACATCACAGTGCACGGTGGGGTTTGCGCTCACGGCTGAGCTGCTGATGGAGACACTGGGTCTCTGTGGGGCAGCTGGGACATACGACAGGGTTTTTCTGCCTCTGAAGAACTGCAGAAGCGGTCCATTTTGAGGACTTTCAAATGATCCTGAACTAGCAGGGCTTTAACGTCTTTTTCTCTGAGACAATCCTTAAGTTTATTCTACTAAATGTTGGGTGGAGTTGTTCCCTATACATTTCTCAGCCATAAAGAACAATTCCTTAACATTTTTTGTGAAGGATTTTGGACTGGCTCACCATATTCAGTTAACAACTAGCTGTACTAACATTACACTGCCCATAACCTTATGTCAGCTCTAAGAAAGAAGCCTTCAGTTCTGGATCTGAATGATCTGTGGAAAACCCACAGGCTCTGCTCCTACATGACTGCAAGCCACTTGTCAGTGTTTACAGCGGCCTTCCCTAGAAACACTCAGAGGACAGATCTCTGCCCAGGCCAGCAGAAGTAGTCAGTATTTGCATCTTCTAACCACTGGCCAACCCAATTTATCTCCTTTATGGAAAATAATTTCCAAGTCTAATGTGAGGCCTTGGATCTCAAGTATCCGTTGAACCCCAGAGCCACCTCCCATGGAAGAATTTTTCTGGCCTGTATACTAAGATGTTTACAGTCTACAGAGACTTGGTCCATACATCTATCGCCCTAGCTTACTGGTTATATGCTGCTTGAAAACATATGCTTTATTTCCCCGGCTAGAGATCAAATGAGTTGAAGGCACAGAATAACACATTCTTTGGATCCTTTGCTGCCAAGGTCAGCACATGATAGGACCTAAAAAATTCAAGTGCCCCATGACATCTTTTGTATCTCACAGCGCCCAGGGTCTAAGCATGAGCTCCCATGCTCCTGCCAGATCAGCCACTAGTCAAGGATCCACCTGTACAGGGCGTACACGTCACTAACGAGCCGCTGTCACATCATGTCCATGCTGGTGTGAACCTTATGCTGGGGGGTGGGGGCTTGGATCCCCCTCAGTGACAGATGAAGAGGATGGTCAGAACAGAGCAGGCCTGAGTGAGCTGAATCTTGGCTTGGGGCAGGCCCTTGTGTTGACTGCTTATACCTCGCTGGGAGGATAGCACACCAGAGGATGGAAGCTAGCGTTCATTGCACGTCTAACCCCCAGTCACTGGGCAACAAGGGAGCCTAGCACATTTGCGAGTCGAGCATTTGTGAAACTGAGCAATCCAGTGTGCCGGGTGGTGCTCGTCCTACTGTGGAGCCACAGTGGAACAAATGGCTTCCTTCTCGCTACTCGTTTCCCACATGGTTCCCGCAGCAGACCATATGCAGAACGTTCCTTATACAACAGCTTCTCCTCTGAGAGCTGGAGAAACTTGCAGGGATAGTTACAGCACCCGGGAAATGGCTATAGCTTATTATCATCCAGAGATCGAGTGCCTAGTGCCCTCCTCTGGGAGCGGTTCCTGAAACCACGAAGACCAAGCCGGAACAGTATTTCCTCAAACTCCCAAGAAGACTGCAGTGATGTAGCTCAGAAGCAATTGGTCCCTCCCAGGACCCTTACCTTTCAAGGTGGCTTTCTTCAGGACCTTCATGGCGTAGAGCTGACCAGCGTCCGATCCTGTGACCTTCCTCACCAAGAACACCTGAGGAACAGGAAACACAGTGACTATCTGTGCTGTTAGCTTTAATTGTTGACTGGATACAATCTAGAGGCTGGACACCCTGGGCCTACATTGGATTTACCTGTAAGAGTATCTAACCGATGTGGGAAGAACAAGCCCATTATGGGTGGCATAGTCAAAGGCAGGAGGTACTTAACTGTGTGGGAGTGGAGGAGCTGAGTATAAGCTAGCAGGCTAACAAGTGAGTGTTCCTGTGTCCGTTCCTCTGTGCTCTTGACTGGATATGACCACCTGTCTCTACCTCCTGCTGCTGTGACTGCCCTGCAGTGCTGGGCTTTGAAGCCCTTTCTCCTCTAAGATGCTTCTGTTGAGACTTTCTCGGTTGCAGAGATGAAATAGGGCACTCTTTTACAGGATTTGACAAGGGAGTATGAAGGATGCTCTGATTGTCGGTTCACATAGGAAATATAGGCTATCTCCATCACTCAGGCTTCCAACACTCGCTTCATCTACCTGCTGCAGCTCTGTGCGGAGCACCATCCTGCATCTGGTTTGGGTACCAGAAGGAAGACCCAAACAGATCAGACTGCACCAGACTGCACTGGCTACTCCTATCTGAACTCTCTGTACCTTGACTGGTCTTAAAAGTTTCCGCAATGAAACACCATGGCCAAAGCAAATCAGGGAAGAAAGGGCTTATTATTTGGCTTACACTTCCACATCACAGTCCATCATCAAAGGAAGTCAAGACTAACAAGGCAGAAAAGTGGAGGCAGGAGTTGATACAGAGGCTTGCTACCCATGGCCTGTTCAGGCTGCTTTCTTATAGAACCCAGGACCACCTGCCCAGGGACGGAGCCACCAGCAATAGATGGGGCTCTCCCTGTCACTCACTAAGAAAATGTCCTCCGGGTTTGCATACAGCCTTATCTTATGGAGGCATTTTCTCAATTGAGGCTCCCTCCTCTCAGGTAATTCTAACTTTGTGTCATGTTGACATGAGACTAGCCAGGACAAGATTCTAGCTGTGGGCAGCAGAAGATCTCAGGTTTTTTTTTTTTTTTTTTCTGGCCCTTAAGTACACGTCTGTGGGTATTTAACATTCTCTGAAAACACTTTTGATGCAAGAACTAATCAACAAAACAAAAGATACCTGAGACAGGCTGAACTTAAGGCGAGATTGCTGATTTTGGAAAAAAAAAATAATGAAGAAAAATGCTAAGTGTTTTAAAGGAATGTTCAACACATGAACAAAGCAATGGCTTCCGAAAAGAATTTTCCCACTGATGTAAGCCCTGCTGGGTGGCAGAGCCCACACTGGCACCCTGGGCTGTGGTGTAGCTGTGGGCAGAGGCAGTTTCCCTTAAATGGATCTGTTGCATTGCTCCTTCCCCAAGGCTTTCCTCATGCCCAGCCCTCCTGCATGCACTTTGGGGTATTATGGTTCCATGCAAACTCTAGAGAGCCTACACTGACCACGGATGCAGCACCACCAGGAGCTTATCTGTAACATCAATCACAGTAGGGATTCGGGTTTCCTTAGCCACGTGGTAGGTAAGTCCTCACTCTCCTGGTTCTCTGTCTCTGACAAGGAGACTGTTGAGGAACCTGCAGAGTATGGAGCCGGATCTCTCAGTGCAGAGACAAGGTATGGACCAATTGCTATCTGCTGTCCTCCCAGGAGACCCCAGACATCTATTCCAGCAGCACAACAGATGAAGTGGGGGGAGGATGCATTGTCCAAACCCAGGACACACATCTGTAGATGGAATATCAATCCCACACTTACATCCTGTGTCCTGAAGGGAACTCAGCTGCCTCCTGCCCCAGCACTGCCTCTACCCAACTCCTCCTGGCCACTGCCAATGCTGTAATCACATCCCTCAGAAGAGGAGACTATGTGATGTCCATGGGGAAATGTCATGCTCTCTGCCAGATGGCAAAGGTTCAGGAGAGAAGAGCCCTGCCTTGTACGGTGATCAGCACCTTCAGAAACATACAGGGTCCTGGGAAGTCATGGGGACACACTGTCACTGAGACATCAATGTGTATTGTACGCATCTCCATGGTTAGATGAACAAGTCTACGGTACAGACCCAAGAAAGAGCCTGGGGCTCAGTCTCATAGGTACCAACTGCCACCCTGATTTCAGACACCAAACCCACCCACAGGACCCTCAGATCCACATGGCCCTGAACACAGCTCTACCACATCCCTACAAGTTTCTGTAGGTGGAAGATCTCTCGTTCTAGGCCAGCGGTTCTCACCCTTCCTAGTCCTGCAACCCTTTAATACAGTTCCTCATGTTGTGGTGTCCCCAATCATACAATTATTTCATTGTTACTTCATAACTGTAATTTTGCTGTTGTTGTGAATCAGAAAGTAAATATCTGTGCTTTCCAATCATTTTAGGCGACCCCTGTGAAAAAGGTGTTCAGCCCCCAAAGGGTTTGCATCCCACAGGTTGAGAACTGCTGTTCTAGACAATGTCATACTGGGTCAAGGCCACCTCCTTGCTGTAGGAATGAGCTTCCCGGTAGGCAGGTAGAAATGAGAAAGCATCTCTCTTGTCTTCATTGCAGCGATGTCGCTTATTCATTGGAATAAGGGATTTTTTGAAAGCAAAAAGCACTAGAGCCTGACTGCGAAGACTCTGTGTCTGAACTGACTCAGTGTATGTAATTCCATTCACTCTCCCAGCCTGTTCCTGACACCCACAGCATCTATCCTCACTTTGTCAAACAAGTGTGGAATTGCTAATGCCTGGCAGGCAGGGGGCAGGGGACAGGGGGAGGAGACAGGAGGCAGGAGGAGGCAGGGGGCAGGGGGTAGGGGGAGGCAAGGGGCAGGGGGCAGGAGGGAAGAGGCAGAAAGTGGCAGGAAGGAGGCAACAGGAGGGAGGAGGAGGGAGGAGAAAGGAGGAGGAAGGAGGAAAAGGGAGGCAGCAGGAGGGAGGCAACAAGAGGGAGGAGGAGGAGGAGGCAGGAGGGAGGAAGAGGCAGGAGGGAGCAGGGGGTATAGCCAGGAGTCTAGGTGGTATGAGGGACCCCAGCGGCTATGCAGACCATGGCAGTTCAGGAGGCCGAGAGCTGGAAAGCAGGTTGAGGCTTATAGTGCAGTCTGTGCACTCAGCCACAGGACCATCACGTTTTCCTGCCAGCCATCAGAGCTGAGCACTGAGGAGCCAGCAGACATCACGCTCCCTTCACCCATACTGTAGTGGTTGCATGTCAATGTGTGGAGTCAGGGACGCATACATCCATGGCCAGGTCACCGCGTCTCCATGGGAAGAACAGGACCCTGGGTCACTGCTGAAGCCCTCACAGGACTCTGGCCGGTAGACAGATGAACTCCTCCATTCTGTCATGTTATAACTGGGACAAAAGCCCCAAGAAAAAGATTTGCATAGTGGAAACTTAGTCATAAAATCATTCTGCCGGGAGAAGCCTCGGAAGAGGAAGCAGTATGCTTGCATTCAGGACTGGCAGGCCTTTCTCTGTGTTTCCCTCCACGCCCTCAGCCCCATGTGACACGATATTACAGAGTCCCCCAAGTTCACAGCAGCGTGGGAGAGAAGCTGGTGAGCCCTGTGCCACATTACTATACATCAGGAAGGTCCTCACCAACGTGGTTAGACTGATGCCACACACCCTTGGACTTCCTGGTTTCCAGAAACATGAGTCACATGGGTTTCTTTTCTTTAGAACTTGTCCAGGTTTTAGTCTTTGAAAATGTAGTTATAGAAGCACAACATGGGCTAAGACAGAGGCCACGATCATGGCCGCAGAGGGCACTCCTGCCTAACCAACACCCACAGTGCACTGGGCAGGGACAATCATAAATTAGCTAAGATAATATCAATTTCTGTGCAGATGTTTGCATATAAAACGCTTAAAGTATTTTGGAGACAGAGACTCACTCTGTAGGCAAGGCTGGACTCAAAAATCACAGCAATTCTCCTGCCTCAGCATGTAAGCACGGAACATTTCTATCCTCATTGTATTTCAGATTTTAATAATGAAACTACTGACAGCAGTGGCTAGTGCTTCCGTTCATCTGTTTTCAGGCAGGGTTTCTGCTTTTTAAAAGGCATAGGAACAGCTGCACTCCGTCACTATTAATATGCTTCTACTAAGTGCCAAGAATTAGAGCCATGTGCAGCAGTTCTCACTAAGGTGATTAGAAAGGCAGACAGAGGTCCCCTAAGAGAAGGGGCAAGGCAGAGGACTGAGTTCCCACAGCAGCAGAGACAGAGACAGCGCTCAGGTGAGGCACACGCATTCCTTTCCTGCTCCTCTGCTTCTACAATTTAGAAATTTATTTGAATGCAGTGAGAAAGCCCCAGAGCAACTTAGACGATTTTAGCAACTGTAGCTGCTGCGCCCCGATGCTCCCAGCAGCCGTGTGCGCTGACTGCGCCCCGATGCTCCCAGCAACCGTGTGTGCTACGGTGTGCGATGACTTGTCCCACTTTCAGAACAAGCTGTGCAGCCCAGGCCAGATGCAACACACACACACACACACACACACACACACACACACACACACACACACACAATCTCAGGAGCACTGTAATCGAAGACATCACTGACTGATTCTCTTAGCAACATGTTCTCAGCCTGGCAAGGGGACCTCAGACAGCAGGACGCTTGGGGCTGAGCAAATGAAGCATGGCTACTTTCTGGGAACTCCCAGGCAACGATCTCCCTCAAAAGAAGGCATTTACAGCTCCATTCGTGTAATGCCACTGTTGAGTTATAAAAAAGCAAGGACATTTTAAAAGGTCAGCTTATTCCCTTCTCGGAATGTGGGACTCACAATTAACCACACTCCGGGAAATTTTGAAGGAAAAAGGAGAGAAAGCGTCTACTCCTCCTTCGGTATTTCTCAGGAGAGGGTTGCTAGCTGTAGGGAGCTGGAAGAGGTGGGATCTCCACCCAGCCACAGGCTCCGGTAGATCCTACATCTCTGCCCTAGAGCGGCCAGCCTTTACCACCCCATTCAGCACTGGGACGCACAGGCAGGCTTCCTCACTCTCCTAAGCTTAGACCACTTTTCTTTTGATGGCAAAGGCACCCTCTTATTCCAAGCCTGGACACCGCAGGACTCATGCAGTGCTGATGGGCTGTAACCCAACACAGATGAGGAGACGCTGCATCAGAAAGATCCACACACCATGCCCAGCATCTACATGCTACAGCATCTAAGCCATGTGTTTCTGGGACACAGGGTACCATACCATGTAAGATCAGTCTCTGGGCTAAGAGCATTCAGGTTCTAGGGTGTTCTGGCATGGGGACCCATAGCAGATGAGACTCACCTGCTGCTTGAGAGAAATCCCAGTCTGAGTCTCCCTATTCAGAGGCTTCATGTAACCATCTGACCAGGGAGCACAAGCAGAAAGAGGCACACAGCTGGAGTGCAGTGGCCCTCTGCTGAGGTCGGGGCAAACATGGTTTTCCATTCCTTTGTGTCAGGGTTCATTCAGCCACCCAGGTAAAAAAGGTGGGACAATAGGCTCAGTGATGGACCATAGCCACCCATGCTGGGGTCAGGGCTTCAACGCATGGCCTGCCCTGGGGTCCATGCAGACTAATGGAGCAGACCATGGCCTTCAATGTGCCTGCCCTACATGTAGAAGTACACTGTGCATTTGCCTGTACTGCAGGGGTTAGATCATGTGGGGCAGTCAGTCAGACCAGGGCTAGCGTTCCCGGTCGGCTGCTGATGCTGCTCTCATGAAATAGAAAACCTGTACAGACAAACGTGGCAAGACTTGTGACCCCCCCCCCCCATCCCCCTTAGCTGCCGTGCAGTGACCATGAAGGCCTGAGTGAGTCTCCAGGGCGACCCACTTCTTTCTAGACTCCTAGTCTGGTCTCCTCACTTTCTGAGACAGAGCACAGATCTCGGGGTGCGACACCCACAGGAGCATACCCTCCCACCGCCTCCTCTGCCCGTCTCCTGACGGGTGCCCACCCAACACCAGTCCTTTGTCCCACCTGCCCATATAAGATTAGGAACTGAAGAGGTGGGCTATATATCGTGTCATTAACATCTCTACATCAACAGAGCCTAGTCAAACATTTGTCCTATAGAAACACTTTTTTAAAAGTCAAGCTAAAGTATAAAATGTACTCGGAGCCTGAGAAAGCCTTTCCTCTCCCCACTCCCTTTTTTTTAAAAAAATAAATAAAGGATCTCATGTAGCCCAGGCTGGCCTTGAACTCAGAATCTCATGTAGCCCAGGCTGTCCTTGAACTCAATAAGCCATTGTGAATGACAGACCTTCTGATCTTTCTGCCTCTGCCTCCAGAGTGCAGAGACACAGGTGTGTTCCCTCACATATAGTTGATGCAGCGCTGGGAACTGAACCCAGAGCTTCCTGAGTACAAGAGAAGTACCCTATCAACTGTTCCACATCTCAGACCTCCTTCTTAACCATGTTTTTAATGGCCCCATTCCTGAGCAAGACATGTCCAGGTTCAGGGCAGCTACTATTCAAGTGACTTCTAACAGGACACTCCTCTGAGGTGCTTGGGGAGTACCCAGTTTCCTTTTCCCTGGGAATTCAGTGCTTCTTCTTTGGGATGGAGCTGTAGCAGCCACAATAAAACAGGAGTTACCCAGAAACAGAGCCATCATGGCAGAACTTCCGTCCTGGGAAAGAATGGCCCCACTAGCATGAGCTTACACTGGAAGAGGCTCCTCCCTCATGAGACAGCACATGGGTAATGCTTCTGAAAGGCAGGAAAGGGAGAGAACACTTGTTTGTGTTTTCAAATCCTGGCCCTTAGAGAAAAAAAATTATCTCCCAATTTCTCTCTGCTTCTTATTAATACTGAGCCATTCTACTGACAACTCAGACAGGCTCTGTCTTCAGTTTACAGTAACCTCTGTGGACATGTGAGAGACAGAGCTTTATTTTGCTACTTCCATAAGCCTCAGGACGCTGCTAAGCATGCACTTTGTAAACCTCATGATTATACTGGTAACATACACAAGTATAAACAGGCTCCTTGCTGTTTGGCCATGTAGAAAGAGAGAAGGAAGGAAGGCATCCCGCCTCATAAACACAGTCAAAGGAATGGAACCTGTAAGAGATCTCTCCAAACCTCAGGACTCTCGTTCCTGCACTTGAGTCAGATTGGACTGAGCCCACCCTCTTTCTGGCACAGTCATGTGAAGACCGGCAAGATTCGGCAAACATCCACAGGCAACACAAAAAATAGTTATTCTGAAGCGCCGGGACAGTTCTGTTCATACTTCAGGGAGCGTTGGCTTCCTAGTGTACTCAGGCCCTTCTGCTCTAGCACTCAGTGTGTACCCATCTAGCTGCTAGTCCAGTGGATACTGTGTATGGATGGGGCACCAGGAAAGAGCCAGCGTTTCCCATCTCCTGAGAGGGATCAGCCGCCATTGCCATGATTTGTGGGACAGATATAAGGACATGTGCAGGCCCAGCACACAAGCCCTTCCAGCTTGGACTCACGACTAATTTAACTCACAGCAAAAGGATATAAAATAAGTTAGTTAACTTTATTTTACAAGTGGGGAAATCAAGGTATCAAGGTATCAAAACCACTGTGCCATTGACCAGGAGAAGAGAGGAGACAGACTCCAAATCCTGGCCTTCCTAATTCTTGAGTTGACAGCTGTGTGTAGGCCAATCCAGAGAAGGCCTTCCCCCCTCTTTTTCTCTTATTCTCCCCTCAGTCACTTCTTTTTCAAAAAAAGCTATTAAGGATGCCCCTCCCAAGACTCCCGGGCTTGAATGGGATAATCTGGCTCCTTTAATAACAACCACAAGCCAAGGGGAACCTGATAAGCAGGAGAATGTGGGTGATCCGGCTCTTCATGGCTCACGATTCTGACAAACACAGGCTCAGCTAATGTGGGCAGTTCCGTGCCCAGTTCCATGCCCAAACTCTGCCAGATTCAGCTGGTACTGCCTTTGCATCTGATGCCAGCCCACCAGTGTTGATCCGTTCGACTCACCTTTCCATACGACCCTTGTCCTAAAACCTTTAGCAGCTCGAACTGGGAGGGGTCTGCCTTCTCAAAGCCTTCCTTCACATGGTTGCTAATGTCAATCTCCTTCACAATGCCTTCTTCCTGCAAGACAGCAGTGATGTGCAGTTAGGACACAGCCACGCCCCCCTTTAAGCCATCTGTACCCTTAAATGTGAGAAAGTTGTTTGCTCTGGGGGCTTTCAGAAAGGGGGTTGAGATGGTGTGGTATGAGTGGCAGGTAAGCCTTTAATGCTCTCTCTCCTCCAGAGGTTTCTGTCACCTCACACCAATGCCACCGGAAATCCAGAATATATTCTCCATGAACATCGCTCTGCAGGTAACAAACAGCGTGTGTGGAATGTGGCCTCAGAAGACCAAGAATCAAATGGTGACCCGGTGGTGCCGAGCTTCACTGCTTGGGAGACTGGGAGAGGCTCCCACGTGGAAATGCAGGACTTATTTTCATCCCACCTCACTTTCCAGTATTTTTGACACAGATAACGCACAGAGTGCTCAACCAGAGCTGTTCTTCTCCATAAAACCCACACAGCATCAGTACAGTGTCCATCATCCTATCCTGAAGCTATGTGACTTCCTACATACAAAGAACTCGGGCTCTGGCAACATCAGCCTTTGGTGGGAGGACTCTTGACATCAGATAGGGCAGGGGGGTCATCCCCAAACAGCCAGCAGGAAGAAGCCATCCTACCTCTTCCTTCCATACAAAACGCAAGCATGGTTTCCTCTTGATATCTGAGGTACAGAGCAGCAGGTAAGCTTAGTTCTCCATTCAAGGACTGACTCCAGAGCCTTCCACCTCAACTTAGTCCAAGTGGCAATGACCACTTACATCAGATATTATGTTACAGAGAATTGTGTGGCCTGGGACCACAGGCGTACACCGCTATGCCTGGCTCCCTGTCTCATGTTGAAATAGTTGCTTTTGGGCTCTCGATGCAGTTCCCCGGGAGCCATGACATGATCTGTCATGAATCACACTAAATGCAGGTTTCTGGCTCAGTGCCTGAGGACAGAACTTTTTTTTTTTTTAAGTATAAGATGAAGTTTATTTGGGAGCATGGGAAGGGGGGTTGACAAGGGAATGGAGGCAGAGAGAGAGGAGATAGAAAAGGAGGGGGGGAGAAAGGAGGGAGAGAAGGGAAGAGGCTGGCCAGGAACACATGGAGAGAGGGAGGTGGGGGGAGGGAGAGAGAGAGGTCGGGGTGGTGGAGTCAGAGAGGGAACAGAACTCTTAAAAATAACTAGATGTTTGGGGAAAGAAGCTGGTTTCAAGGCCAGACGCCAGCTCCACTTACAAAGATACCATCTCGTGACTTGTGAGAGAGAAACCAGAGACAAGGGTCACCTCTGCATGCCACAGATGACAATGAGCTCTCAGAAATCCTACTGAATGGCTGCAGGGTTCCAGAATGTTCTAGGAGAGCAGGAAGTAGGAAGGACAGCCACAAAAGCAGTTATTGGAGTAGAGCCCCAAACAGGGATAGCTAGCCTTCTTCCTTTCTTGCTTTTAATCTCCTTTATGTCTTCCTCTTGTGTTGCTGCAGCTGAGGATCTGGGTGCTCCATTGAACAATTACGGTCTGAGTGGATACTGAGTCTCACTCACAACAATAGAGGATGTGCTTAGTTTTTCTCCAGTTAGAATGTTGGCTACAGGTTTGTTGTATAAACCACATATTCTTTCTCGGATACAGATTTGGCCTATAATGTGCGTGTGTGTGTGTGTGTGTGTGTGTGTGTGTGTGCATGCGTACATACAAACATACATACACACACATAAATACACATACACAGGAGTGTAAAACAGAAAGGATAGTGAAGCTACACTCATGGCACCTCAGCAATATGGCTGCCTAAACAGGACCGGAACAATGAAGCAATAGACAACACTGTAGAAGGGTGGAAATCTCACCTCCTGACTACATGAAGCTAAGAACCACTGAGAGAGGGAGAGCTGGGAGGTGGGGGCGGGGCTGGTTACACACAGGGACACGTTCCCTTAACTGGTCATCTAATTCCAAATGATCAGCCCTGAAATCACATACACACAAAGTCCACTAGAAAGACTCAGCAGAGTGGATCCGTGCATCTGTGTATTTATACACATACACATACACATAGACATAGACATAGACATAGACATAGACATAGACATAGACATAGACATAGACATACACATACACATACACATACACATACACATACGTAACAATTATGAAGAGGTCATGAATTTGAGAGGGAGAGAGGTGGTGTGCACGGAGGGGTGAGGGGGAAAAGAGGGAGGGAAAATTATATAATTATATTTTAATTTTATTATAATATATTGAATAGAAAGGAGATCAAAGGAGGATAAATAATGGGATGGATGAGGGGTGAGAAAAACTGACACACAGGACATAACAGAGTAAGGGAGACTGAGGGCGGTTACAGAAGGAGATGGAGATGAAGGAGAGGAAAGTCTAAAACACACTCGGCTCCCTTGAGGACTCTGAGCCTGTCAGAACATCTAAGTCTAGTCAGCCCTCTGTCCATCTGGAAGTTAAGTCCTAAGGGTGTGCTACTGTGTAAATGCCACGTCCTAACTGATGGTGGCCTAAGCAATGAATTCCCTCTCTGTCTTCTAAATCAGACATGTAAAGCTGAGCAAGATGACCATTTGTCTGTCTATACAAGAAAACTGGATGCTACAAAATGCCACCTCCCCAGATGTACTGATTCCCAAGGCTCACCTACCATTATCCCACCTGGCCACACTAATTAGAGCCCACATTTAGCTAGAACTAACTCTGTGTTTTGGAAAACAAATAAGATTAGATAACCTGCTGCAAGGAGAAAAGGGTAGAAACTAATGGTGTGAATACTTTCTGGATGCAAAGAAAAAGGGTAGAAAAAGAAGCTCAGTGTTCTTAGTCGCACGGGTGTGTTAACATTTGGCAGGAAAGACTCCTCTGGATGCAGGGACAGCATCTTCAATAAGGTGCATGGTGGGAGTCCCCTGTGCAGCGGGGACAGCTGTGCACTAACCCAGGGACCAACGTGTTTATAGGAGAAAGAGAGCTGAGGTAGGCTTGGTATCAATCTGGGAAACTAAGAAAAGCCTTTAAAGATGACATGGTAGCTAGAGAGGTGGCTTGGCAGCCAAGAATGACTGACTGACATCTGCTTCTAGAGAACCAGAGCTCAGTTCCCATCACCCATGTTAGGTGGTTCATAACCACCTGTAACTCCAGCCAGGAGATCCTACACACTCTTCTGTCCTCTAAGAGCACACACACACACACACACACACACACACACACACACACTACATATACTCATTAGTAATGATTATAATAAATAATAATAATATAAAATCACGGCTGGATGTCAATCATAGACTTCTGAATCAAGTGTCATGCATTTATCTCACTTTCTTGGTCTTCTAGATAAGGACCTGAGAGTTGGTTTTTCCTTTCCAATACAGCAGGGTAGCCACTTCTGCAAGTGTTTGCTGGGTTCATACTCTGCCTGTGAAATCTCTACAGGAGGTCTCCTAGGCCATGGTTCCTGAGTGGCAGGCAGTGAGAGGACTCTGTCTCTCCATCTCTGGCCTTGGCTATGAGTTCAGCTTCCTGCTAGAAATGTACCTTCTTTGGGATCAAAATGGGCGTGACGCGGCTGCCCTGCTGTACACAGCGTTCACTAGCCCAGTGACTGTCACAGCAGAACCACAGGCTTCAGAATTCAGCAGGTGGTTTACCCGTTTCTGAAACTAAAGAAAACTTTCAGGCAGAAACCTCATGGAAAGGAATCTACTGAATAACTTCCTCACACCTTTGCGTTCCTTCTCTCGCTCTCCCTCCCTCTCTCTCTCTCTCTTCTGCCTCTTCTTTCTTTCTTTCCTCTTTGTTGTAGTCAACTTAGCTATTTCACATTTTTAAAAGATTATGACATATTTAGCAAAAGGAAAATAAATGGATTTAGCTCCAAGCTTTCCAATGCAGCCTCCCACCCCAACACGGTACTATTGTCTGTCCTTGCTTGGTCTATAGAGCTGTCAGAGCTGGGAACCTGGAACAGAAGGAAGACTCAAGTAGAACAAAGGTATTTACTAAAGCCCGCACAAACCAACAATTACAGGCTTCCAATGACAGATGCGAATGAAGGCTGTGAAGAGAGGGGATAAACTCCCCGGAGCTGCATCCCTGTGAGTCTCACAACACAGCTCCTGAGATGACATTTCCACTTCTCTAGGAATACCGAGCACCAAGAACTCAAAAGACCTACAGCAAGACCAACTGCAAACCCTCTCCGTGACATTCCACAGGTGGATTCCATCCTGAGCTCCGTGTTCCCTGCACCTTGTGTCATGGTTTGGAAGAAGCAGGCTGGCCTAGCCAACCCTCCCAGAAGCCACTGGGATTCAGATCACCCATCTCAGTGTCCATAGATTCCTCCACAGGACGAGATGTGTATTGTGTCAACTGTATAGTCTCTGGTGTGTCACTGTCTCTCCAGCAAAATATCTACACAGCATCTACTCTGTAAGCACCTACAAGGGACACCTTGTGGGATAGTTTAAGTGCTGACCCTGGAGGACACCCAGCTCAAGACAGCATCCAGTGTTGGCGTGCACATGACCTCACCATTCTTAGACCCTCCCTATCTGTAGAGTGAGAAGAGTTGAGCCTTAGCACAGGAACAGACATTAAGATAACTGCCTGTGTTAAACATTGGGCTGCCTGTGCTGTGGAGCTATCAAGCCCCTTGGCCACTTACTAGTGAATGGTTTTTGGGGGGTGTTTGTTTGGTTTTGGTTTTGATCTGGCCTCTTAACACAGAACAAGAAAAGTGGTTAGTTTACAGGGAACGGCCACCAGTCTTGGTGTGATCCAGGAGAGGCTGTTGAGACAGAACAGGAAGGAGCCTCAGAGCTGGTCCAGCTACCAGAGTGTTCCCAGTCAGAATTATAACTCTTCCTCTCTGCTTCTCCCCAGACGTGGAGTGGCAGCCATTCATCGGCTATCGGCTATCACTGTCTTCCTGTCACCAGACCTCTGGCTAACCGTGGTTGGAAGACACAGCATCTGAGCCAAGTCCTGC